ATTTAATTTTAAATAATAATCATTAACTATTATATAACAAAATAATTATATTAATTGAATTTATTTTCTACCATCCACTACACACTTTTCACTATTTACTACTTATTATTTATTAATCACTATCCATTATCTACTACTATTATCTGTTATTCATCAACCACTACCCATTATTTATTAAATCTTAAGTATTATATCAAACATGCCATATGATGAAAAAAATAAATAAATAAACTTGAAAGATGTCATTGCGTTATTAATTTTCTTTTTCAATTAGAAAACTCTTTATTTTTTAATTAATTTTTTCCCCTTACTTTTTGGGAAGGTAAACTTGCCACAGTTGGAATGCGTGATTGCCACAACTCTTTCAGTTTATCTATATTTTTTGTTCCATTGCCTATTTTCAAACAAATCTATATTTTTTTTGGTTAAATTAATGGTACCGTTGATTATTTTTATTGGCTTTTTTTTAATTTATACTTTAAATATATAAGTTAAGAATCTTAAAAAATAAAAAGTGACACTAAATTTATTAATTATTTAATTAAATTTATTTACATTATAATAATATCAATTAATATCAATTTTTATGTAAATTTATAACAAAAATGCATCATTGACCTGAGCTAATGGTATAAACTAGAAAACTCATTCTTCTTTTATTTTCATTTAAATCTCAATTTTGGTCCCTCAACTTTAGTGTAGATATCTGATTTAGTCTTTAAATTAAATCAATTCCTATTTTGGTCCTTAAAAATTTAAATTTCAACTCATTTTTTGTCCTTTCCTTAAATTTTAACTTACACGACATGTTAATTAGCATCCAAACTTGTTTTTTCATTCAAATTAATGACATGGCAACCTATACAGCGAAAATTGATGATATAGACAAAATTCATTATCTATATTGACTTTAAAATTTTATTTAATCACAAAATTATCACAAAATTATCATTAGGTTAAATTCTAATTTTGGTCATTGAACTTTTAAATGGACCCTACTTTAGACATTGAATTAAAAAAATTCCTATTTTGGGCCAAAAAAGAGCTAAAATTTAAAACTTTAAAAGTCAAAACAGAGATTTATTTAGTTTATAAACTAAAATAGAAGTTCGTGCAAAAGTTGAGAACCAAAATTGAGGTTTAATCCTCTTTTAAAGATAGAGTTAGTAAGTTTTAGGTGTCTTAAGGATTTATTTGAATGGAAAAAGAGTGATTGACTATGAAAGATACTGTAATACTACTAAGAAAAAGACGTGTGTTGGACTTTGGATAATGAATTTAGTAGGGGTGTTCATATCCGATCTAATCCGATTGATCCGACTTAAACTGATCCAATTCAATTAAAAACCGATCTAAACTGATATAAAATTGGGTTGGTTTGAATTCTAAAATTTTAAAACCAATATAATTGGTTTAGTTTATGATTTTATCTTAAAACCGCCTTAACTGCCCGATTATAAAATAAAATCTTATTAGAAGATAATTTAATTAAATAATATAACATATTTTTTTGTAGTATTTTAAATTTTTTTTTCTTATTTTACAATATTATAACTCCATTAACTGAATTAAAAAAATAAAAATAGAATATCTTCATATTCCTTAAGTTATTTCTCCATTTTAATCATGCACTCTAACATTAATTCTAAATTTTTAATTCACCTACAACTCCACCCTTTCAGAACTGGTTTGCGTTTTTACTTTTACAACCCTAAATTTCTAATTTATTTTTAAAATAATCTTGTAATTTTCTTAACTAAATTTTAAATAAATATCATTCTAAAAACTTAAAACTATATAATAAAATTAGCCTTAATATTCAATTATTCTTAGATATTTGGTTTAGAA